CTCAACAGCTGACTCAAGCACCCAAGATAAAGCTGCTTGCATGTTGACAAATGTTCATCTTACACCTTGTGAGAAGTGAGGAAAGTCATTTCACATGCTCAGGTGTTGCCCTGAAATGAGTACTCTGGACACATACACATAAAGGGTCTGGTCTGAGGGCTCCACACATACAGAAAGGGCTGACACTCCTATTTACAGTGGATGCCATTTCCAGTCTTGCTTGAGCTGGGAAGGTATTGCTTTCAGAAGGCTACAAGAGTTTTTCAATGAAATAATTGTTTCAATGGAAAAATAAAACTAAACAGAAAATGTAATTTCTTACAAGAAAGTCTTATTAATGCTGGTATCTGAAAAAACAAGGATCGCTGGAAAGTTCTGGACCACCACACCAAACATTAAGATTTTTTTTTCCACTATAAATAGACTGTATCAATTAGATCACAATGATGAAAGTAAAACAATATGATTTTCTTACTCAGTGGACCTCTCTAAAACATCTATGCTACTGGGTTTTTATATTCTGTTCTCTCATTGTCAGTAACACAAGATGTAGGGCTCCCTTGAAGGCAAACAAGTTTTCACTCCAAAAAGGTTTTGGAGTGAAAGGTTTGGAGACCATTTTTAGTACTACTTGAAGTATTAAGGGGGGGGGGGGGGGGGGAAAGAGCCCATTAAAACCTCCAAATCATGCAGGGCAGAAACAAAGGTGGCAAAAACTGGCAAGCTGCCTTTGAGTCAAACAGCATGAGCATCAGCAGCACCGACCAAGTTCTAACTCAACACTTTACCCTAATGCACAGCAAAAGGACAGAAACCACCCTGGGAGCTCCTTGAAATGGTAAATAGGCCCCCAAACCACCTATCCCTGATGCTTTCTGCCACCTTCTCTCTTTGTGCAAGATTTAAATCAAAATTTCTCATTCATTAGAAAGACGGTTCCCCCTTCAGTGGTGTATCCTAATTTCCATGGCATGAAAAGCTGCACGCCACCTCCTTCTCTCCATGTCTGCTACAGGGACACATGTGTACGTGAGAGCTGCACGTTTCCATCTCTCTGTAGCTTTGTTCTTCAACGTGGCAACTGCCTTTTTTTTTTTTTTTTTGCCGATAGTCACCGGTAGATTTTTTTCAGCATCAACATCATAATTTTCCTCCCCCAAAAAGCTTCATACTAGCTAGTGCATCACCCACCTCGCATTAATCATCACAGCTGGCAATATATCCTAATACCCATGCACACACTCAACCCATTTTATATATACATACACATTCTAAAAGCTTTTTTTACTGTTGTTAAACTTATTGTAACAATGAACAGATAACTGGATAATAAAAAGTCATCTTTGCTCCTGGTTTTAACAGAAGAATTTACTTTCACTTTTTCCATACTTCTCCTAGAGTGCTCTTTAATCAGTTAACCTGTATGCTAACAGAAGCAGTTAGGGACAAATTTAGTACAAATATCAGCGCTATCTTTAAATGACGTAATTTTATAGTAAGTTTCCAAGAGGAAGCATGCTTACTCTGTTTAAGCGCCATAAACTCATCCTTTACCTTCTCCTCCAATGCTAGTTAAAAACTGGAATGCACATACAGAACTTCAAGATGTGTATAATTTCATTAGTGAGAAACCTCATGATGGGTATTGGTGGTCACTGTGCCATTCAGCTGATCTCCAACTGTCACACTGCTAGGCCAGCCTGAAGCCCTTCTGAATGTGGAGGCAGTCAACAACACACATCAATTTCAGTCCAGTGAAAATCTAGAAAGATTAACCCCTGATCACAACTGCCTTGCCAGCTCTTCTCTCCGACTTCATTTCTAAAGCCCATTATGCATCGATAAGCTCATCTGCCCAAATCAGCTTTGAAGTAGATATGAGACCATGGAGCGGTTTAGTCACTGAAAACCATTCTCAGCCAGGTTTGTTAGGAGTCCTCCAGCCACAGAAAGCAGTACTTCGTGGGGAAAGGAATCACAAGATGAGACAGCTCCAGGGAGGGGTAAAGAAAAATCTCTGGCTATAAATTCTAGAAAGCTGATTGCAGAGCACTAGAGAGGGCCTTTGAGGGCAGACATACTAGAGTGGAGTAAACACACTAGGCAGTTCATTTACCACAATGTATGTGATGATAAGGAAAAATCCAGAGGAACAGATCTGCTCTAACAAGCCCAGCACATGAGCCAGGCTCCTGATGTTCCATAAACTCTAATGTAGGCTTATATATATGGGGGTGAGTAGCACTTCATTTTGCTCCTTCCATATGAGCTGCACATACCTTTGACTCCTATGACATCTACGGGAAACTCTGCTTGGGAGAGGTCCTGAAACAGCTGCTTCAGCTGTGCTCATTCCTGATCAGCTGCCTGCAAGCTCTAGGTAGAAACAGACCTTCTGGGTGAAAGTGCCAGTCCACTGGCTGCCCGCAGCTTTCTGCTGTGTGGGACATGCACCAGGGTCTCATTATTTTCAACAATGAAAACTGGAGTAAAAAAAAAAACAATGTAGTTTTCTTAGTTTGTACTTCCTGCTATGAATAAGAACTCCTTTTTTTTCCTAGAAAAGCATAGAGGTAGAGACTGTTGACTTTCTTACACTAGACCACTACCACAGAAAACTGCATCATAAATTTTTTAAGGGCAAATATCTACTTTAAGAAAATGTTAACTGTACTAGAGTGACTCACAGCGATACAATTTATGTTGTGCTAGAAACATTGCAAGCAGCACAAGTACTTGATCACGTCTCCCTTTCCCTCAGAGAAAGGAACAGCAAATACAGTATAAGAGCTCATACTTCCCCAAATGCATTCGCTGAACAATGCTTGGGCAAAGCCTTCCAAGTCCTAAAATCCAGAACGATACATTGAGTCCTTTCCTATAATCCTTGCACATTCATAGTACATTTTCTCTGAAAATAACTGCATGGAAGCCAGTATTCTACCCTTGATTAATATTTTAGTATATTAACTCTATTACATTGTCCCTCTTTGGCTCCAAAGTAATGCTGATATGATCCAGCCTGCTACCTGCTTGGCCACAGTATTGCCACTGCAGGCTTTCTCAGCTCATGAGTCAGAGTCCAAAATAATAATCAGGTACAATGTTTTAAGCAAGTTGTTTGGGAAAATAAGGCTAACAAGCATTTGGAGAATTTTACCTGCCTTGTGTCTGAGACTTTGGGGTTCAGAATCTCTAGCTTTTCTATGAAAAATCTGGATTGTGTATAGGTTTGGTTTTGTTTTTAATGAAAGCCAACATTCTCACAAGATTCTCACGTATTCCCACGATTCCAGAAGTTGAGTCTATCAAAAAAATTGCCAAGTGCTGAGAGACTGCAGAATTACAAAAGCTGTCAACACCATTAGCATGAACTAGTTATAGGTGCATTAAGGAATCTAGAAATGACTTCTCCACCCGAATCCCCAAAGCCAACAGTTAAAAGACCTACTTCCAATGTTTGCTGCTACGACGACTCGTACAGTGGCATGGATGTTTGTACAGCAGGCAGGTCCCTGGGCTGCTGCCATCATAAAACCTGCTTTTCCAAAATAATGCTCTTGGAAGAAACTGGTGGAGCCTGATTGAAATGAGGTGGCATTAAGCATATCAGAAGCACCTGAGAATCCTACTAAATCATTATCTGAGAGCTAGAGACTTTAGAATTTGGCTTTTTTAGACGAATCGAATCTTCTATAGCAACCACCATCTAGCAAGTTAGCCTCATTAGCCACACTACTATGCATTTTAAATCATCTTCTTACAGCACATCTGCACTCTGATGAAAGACACGATGCCATTACAGGCATGATAACAGTTCCCAAGAATTTACAGTTTGCCTTATAAAGCCCTGGTTTACAGAAACACCCAGCTGGATCCTAACACACAGCTCTAAAGGAAGCAACAAATTGGTACGCATTTGGCATAGCAAATTCTAAGCAGCAATGAGAAAACACACACACAAAACAGCATACGCACACTGAAAAGGAGAAAAACTACAGAAATCAGCTAGTTTTTAGTGCAATCCAAAGAAGGATAGTTTTAAAGGATTCAAATACTCTAGGCTTCCTCTCAGCATAGCGTACTGCATTATTTAATTTCAAATTCTGCCCAGATCTGATTCCTCTGAAATAAGCTGATGCTAAAATAAGTTGCTCGTATGCGAGGCAACACGCAGCCAGGTTACGCTGTGCAGTCCTAGGCTGGTAAGACCTCCTCGCCAGGCAGTTATAAAGCCTCATCTCAAGAGATACATGATCTTATCTGCTCTCCTGGGGGTACCCCCTCATACGACATACACGCCTGCATTGACGCATACCCTATTTTATGTTATAAGCTGTGTATTTGATGAGCTGGCCACAAAACCTTATGTAACACGCTCCTGCTTAATATGGAGCAGCATGCTCATCGCCGCGGCGATCCGGGCAGTTGGCTTTGCCCCGAGTGATTTTCCTCCGTGAGGTCTTCCACGGAGCCGCTGCTAGAAAAGAATTGACATTGGTGGGAAAATAAAAAATTAAAAAAAAAATCAGGAAACATCATTAACGCTGCTTGTTTCAGGCTTGGTGCCACAGCCACGACGCCACCAGAGCTCCATTCTGTTCGGGTGGCCACAGGTTTCCTCGCAGGACGGCGGTGGGGCAGGACGAGCCCCTCGCAGCGAACGGCAGCTCCGGGCTCCCTGCCGGATGGCAGCGCTGCCCCTGGCCGTGCGGGACCCGGCAGCGCTGCCTCCCCGGGGAACGGGAAGAGCCGGCGCATCCATCCGCCTGCCCGGGAAGCGGCGCGGGACCCGGGCTGCTGCTCGGCCGAGGAAACCGTTACATAAGCAGCAACGGGCGGCGCGCTCCCCACGCGCGGCCGGGCGCCCCAAACGCGTTTGTGGGGCGCGAGCGTCGCCGAAGCCCCCCGGCGGCCAGCGGGTTTATGTAAGGGCACGTTATGGCGGGGGGCTCAGCCTGGAGACAGCACCGCGTGCGTGTCCGTGTGCCGCCACTCACCGCCTCCGAGTCCTCAAAGCCGTGCAGGTACAAATTGTCGTACATGGAGCTCCGCGGGGCGGCGGGCGCCTCTCTCGCTGCGGACGGCGCCGCGGCGGGGGCTGGCGGGCGGACGAGGCCTGTGCGGCGGGGCCGAGCGTGCCCTGTGAGCGCTGCGGACGGCCGAGCCGAGCCGAGCCGAGCCGCGCGGCGCCGCCTCCCCGCGCCCACCGCCGCCGCCGCAGGTGCCCCCGGCGGCGCCGCGCACCCCCTTCGCCGCCCGCCCGCCCTCCCGCCGCAGCCCGCGCCGCGCCCCCATTGGCCGCGCCGCTGCCGCCGCCGCCCCCCGCCGGCCGCCTCACGGAGTCGCCTCAGGGGCTCGGGCTGAGGCGGCCGCGGAAACCGCCGAGCAAGCCGCGTTCCCGGCCCCAAACGGGGGCCTCTCACGGGGCTCCTTCCGCTCGCCCTTCCCCACCGCATTTATTATTATGTGCTTTCTAAGCAAGCAACGCGGTGTTTTTCTCTGGAGTCGCCTCCAGTGAGCAGGTTTGCCGGAACACTGTGGGGCAGGGGCTCCATCACGGGTCTCCCCCGCACCTGGCCCGGCTCTCCTCGTGCTACCACTTTGCCACTTCACCCTAAGAATTTAATTATTTTTTTAAGTTTTGGGCTTATCTATAACAGCCACATGGTGAGGAGGTAGCAAAGCCTGCCCTGCATCTGGCAGGTCCCCCAATTCCCATCTCCTACCTCAGCAGACCAGTCTTCCTTCCCAGATCGTGTAGGGATAAACTAAGGAAGAGCATTACACGGTCAAAAAAAATCCAAAACAAAACCAGGGAAGTAATGTACTTATACACTCATTAAAATGATCACTTTAAATCCCATCTGTAGTACAATCTGACCAAACATGTCTGTGTTTATAAACACGTCCTGTCTTTCTTCCCCATTCACTTCATCTGCTGTTCCTTCCACGTAGTTATTAAGCTCTGAAAAGTTGTCACTAATCACTCTGGTAGCTATCCAGTAGACTTTCAAAGCAGATCAGAGGGATTATTCTCCCTACACTTGCAGTCTCTTACAATTTGCTTCAGATTTCCCTCAAATTATGACAAATCTTATTCCCAACTTATCCTTCCCCTATGCTCCAGTGAGACGGAGGAGAGAACATCTATGAGAACTTCCAGAGAGTGGTTTGGGGGCACTTCCTAAGGGTTTGGGCTAAGCTGTTCGGGTGAAGGAGGATTTTAAAAGCCTATTTGCAAAATGCTCATTGAGCGCCCTATACGGGCATTAATGGTACAATTTTAAAGTCTGTGCTATTTATCAATAAAATAAAGGGTTCTCACACAACCTGGGAGGCAGGCGAGACACAAAGTGCCCTGTCCGCTACCGCACGGGCTTCAGGCAGCCCAAACGCTCTGTAAAGCTGCATGCTGGAGCTGTTTGAGTTGGAAAACTGTTACAAGAGCCAGATTCCCCCTGCCTTTCCGTCTGGAAGTCTGACCCTGCTCCACTAAGTCTACCTGATGTGCTGGTGTGTTAGATTCTCCTCCAGCCCAGTGAAGTTTCTGAATTCTACACATAAATGAATTAATGTGCTATCCATATACAAATAACTCCTATATTCATGTTTTGTTTCGTTTTTTTTTCCGGGCATGAGACTAAAATGCAAGAACAATACCTGAAATGCACAGAAGCTCTACATCAAAGGTTTGATTTTGAATAGTATGAGGTAATTTATCAAAGAGACAATTCTGGCCTTGAGGGTAGTTAAATACAAAGCAAGTACCAGAGCCCTGCAGCCCCAGAAAAGCTGCCTCACCGCCTGACACAGAACAGCGCGCTGGGTACCACGATTCACAAGCGAGAGTGGCTGCCGTGCGACTGTTGTGCGACTGACACTCAGCCCGCGGTGCTGGAGCCCAAGCACGGTACATTCTCACTGCAGCTCATGCTGGGCAAACCACTGACCACAGCTCCAGGTGGGGACATCCGCTGTGGACTAAGGCAGGAACCACCGCCACTCATCTGCTCGAGTCAGTTTGGTGTGTGCAGCTGCATCGCAGACCAGCGCCGCTGAACCCAGGCTCCTGCGTGACAGAGGGCGTTTATCTTTCTAGCTTTGTGCCTTAAAACGATTTCCCTGTTCTGCATATGCAGGTGATTGTATTCGTTACTGTTAGAGTACTGGACATTAGTTCAGTAAAAGCACATTATGTTTTCATATTGACACCGTCACAGTGGATACACTTGTGGTCACCTCTGTCAGCTTCCAGAAAGACAAATCCCTTTGGTTTGAACATGCCTGCGCCAAGCCACCCAGTAACATGCAACATGTGCAAAAGAAAAGATAGTCACAAGTTGAATCTCTCTTAAAAGACCTTCTCACAAGATTGCTCAAACAAACAAAAACACACAAAAAAGACCACTCTAAAAGGTGAGAGTCACGCACTAACCAACAGTTTTCAAAGATCAGTCATCTTTGGCCTGTTTGTGAAAGAGAACACAGATGATCCAAAAATATTAGGTGGAAAATGCCATTGCCTCAAGCCACAGGGAAAGACTCTGGTACCTGTCACCTTCAGTCTGCACTTGGATAACACTAAAGGAACCTGCATCCAAGGAAACCATAAGCACGTGTGTGTCCATATGTGGCTCCAAGAGACGTGATGAAAATGTCTAATGGACAAATGCGCTGAACTGAGTCTGTACAGTCTAACACTTTAAAACAATAACACTAGTTTTGTTAAATGGCATCAGCTGCTGTATTATTATTGTTCATTTTGTTTGCATTTTTTTTTTATATTAATCTTCAAAGACTGGTAATCAGGTATATTCACAAGCATTCCAGTCTCTGTTTTTAATGGGATTTAACCATGGTGCAGTCACTGCAGCTGTGTGTGAGGATGTAGCCCCTCTCAGACAGGGTCTGCAGGAGTGCTGTGGAGCAGGTTTCACACTCATTTCTTGCAATATGGTATGCAGGGAATGTATATCTCCTGTAATTGCAGCCCACAAGTCCATATGTTCCCATAGGGACAGGGGATTCAGAAGGAGATGTAAACAAAACGCCACAAAACAATCAGTGCAGTTTCTGTAGGATCCATCCAGTTTCTCCATGAAAACCTAGACTGTGCCCTGGCCAAAGGTGCATAACTTGAGCCCATGGAGCTTCCTCCAAATACACAGATTCCATTAGAGATTGTTCATATTCTCTTTTCGGAATAGAACAAACCTTTTTCGAAGTTCAAATGACAAACAAATAATTCCCCTTTGAACACCAGTTATTTAGTCATTACTGAGCTATGTGAAAGCAGGAATAGTACTTTTTCCCAGAGCATGAATTTTGCCCAGAACCCTATGAAATTTTATCTGAATCCCTCTGCACCAACCACCCAGCGCAACAGCTGCACTCGCAGCACGCGCCCCCGGCCGGCAGAGCCGCTCAGCTGGGTGCCTGGACACACACAAGGGCCATCTCAGAAGAGTGCAGGTAACCAGACTCCCCAGCCAAGCAGCCACCTCAGCACTGCAGTGCGCAAAACCGGGAGGTAAGTCAGCAAGTTCTCCCTTTTTCTTACTTTAACACATTTCCCTTTCCCTGGGGCTTCGCCGCTACTAACTCACTGTGACCGTGCGGCAGGACTGCAGCCCTGCTCTGCCTCCTCATCCCGCTCCCCAGGAGGAGGGAGGGATTGGCAGGAATATTAACCCTCAGGCAACAAGAATAACCGTGTTCACGGACATCAGGGAAGCGGGGCAAAAGTTCTTCCCACCCTCTTCCTTCTCCAGCAGTAAAATTCTGACCCTGGAATCATATTTTTTAGTAAGGAGGCAGCATCCCACCCAGAGTCAGAGCACACTAACAAAAAGCTTTAGGATTTACATTAATAGCATATTTGGATTGGAGCTCACTTGTTCTCGCAGTTTTAGGCACACAGGATACTCCTTAAACTACAATATTTATCAGTATATTATATATGAAATATAAAGCTCTGTTTGGAGCTTCAGTAGCCTTAATTTGGGGACTGATGGGGAAAAATTGCTCTCCCCCATAAAAAGTTGCTTTTGTTGAAATCAGCAAAAGAGCCCAAGCGCCGTGTGACGGGCGCAAAGGAAAAGGCCCGTCAGCACTCTCTGCAAGCCGCCGAGGGCACAAGCTGCTTCCACAGTTGGAGAGAGACCAATTTTTCACTAAGTGTTTGGCAGAGCCCTATTTCTGCCCTTCCTCTGTTTAAAGTTTTTTCCCCCCCTTTCTTCTGTTGTATAATACAGATTAGATAAGCATCTGGCTTAGTGGCTACAGCTCCTGCCTTGGGCAGAGGTATGAGTAAGAGAACCTCCTGAGATCCCCACTAACCCTATTTTCTTGCATCTTATGAGCAATGAGAATTAGATGACATTTGTGGCATTTGGGAGACCCTGGAAGCAATTCTGTAAATAACTCTGTATTTATAATTCAAAAGAAAAGTATCGTGTTTGGGATGTGCCTCGGCACAGAGGATTCTGTGCATTTAAAGGTTTCACTCAAAGACAGTACTGGGTGCTACATCTAATTCTTTCAATTTCAAGTAATAAATTAGGCTGGTAGCATCTAATTTGACAGTTCCTCTAGAGGAAGTGAGGTGCCACCTATCCTGAAACACATTTATCTGACACTGTTACATAAAGGCTGCTATAATTAAAGAGAGTGTGAAGACTTCACCATCACTTCCTCTTGCTCTAAGCACCTACAGCTGGGCTACATTCGTAGGTATCCTCTATATTTAATCAGTTGTGAGGTTTCTTTCTCCCATAAGCACCACCCAGGCTGGTGGGAACCCAGGGCCGTGGCTGCATCCTCACAGGCTGATTTTGCAGAGCAGAGTGTTGCCCTCTCCTCCGAGGCTCCCCTGTGCTCTGCCCTCTTGGCCGCCCAAGCCCATCCTGCTCCAGGTACCCAGCAAGTTCCAAAATAGACTCACACGAGCGGCATCAGCTTCAAAAAACAGCTTTTTGTGCTTGAATTGCGTCTTATGCCTTTGTTGGAAGGAAGGCAGAGGAGTTTTGCTGGTAGAGAGGCTATACGTTTTTAGCTTCTACGCCAAATCCCATATGGGCCAGAGGATTAAGTGTTTCTTACTTTAACTTTAAACTCCTCTTTGTGTCTTACGAGTGCTAATCAAGCTTCTAACTGCTCGAAGCGCTGACGTGGAGCACTGCCGTATACCATTCAGAGCGC